CCGGTCTTGGGGGGCCCGGTCTTGGGGGGCCCGGTCTTGGGGGGCCCGGCCTGGCTCTTGGCTTGGCTCCCCTTTGCTGCCGTGACTGGCTCCCCCCCGGGGGGCTCAGCCTTGCCTCCTGCTCCTGCCTTGGGCCGAGCTTTGCCCTTGGCGGCCGTCTTGGCTTCTCCCTTGGGGGGCACCTTGGCGGGGGGCTTTGCCAGTTTCACTTGGACGGTCTTGGGGACCCTTGGCTTCTTGGGAGCCTTTCCTTCGGCTGCCGTCTTCTCCTTTGGCTTTGGCTTTGGCTTCGGCTTTGGCTTCGTGGGGCCTGCAGCCAGGACCTGCAGGAAGACGGACACGCTCGGCCTTATACGAGTCGGGGGGGACGGGGGCAGCCCCGAACCTCTTGGCCAGAGGCAGCCCAGCTCAGCTCTCTGGGGGCAGATACAGACCCCCCCAGTGGGGCCTTTGGGATGGGCAAGGGAGACGCTCCTCTGACTCAGCCCGCGCTGTGTGGGCTTCGGCAGGGGCCAGAGCCCCGGAAGGGGCCACTGGGAGGGGGCTGCCACCCCTGGACTTTGGGGGGCTCTCTCTCTCCTGCCCAGCGGCAGGCCGCCCACCCAAGGACTTGGGCGATGAGGGGAGGGCCGAGCTGCCCCCTCTGCCTGCACGGAGGCCTACCGAGTCAGACTCCATCTTGGCTTCCTTGCTGGCGGCTTTCTCCTTGCCCTTGGCGTCTGCTGGGGAGGGGGGGGCAGAGAAGCAGGATGAGCGCCTTCTCCCCCAGCTGACCTCCATCAGGGCAGAAGCTGCAGCTGGGCCCCCACAGGGCGAAGAGCCCACCCAGGAGCCCCTCGGCGGCCCCCTTACCCGCCCCCCCAATGCAGCTTCTGGCAGAGATGCCATGGGACCCCCGCCCTCCATCCTCCCAAGGGCCCCCCCCCCGGGTGGCTGGTGCATGAAAAGGGGGGGGAGTCCTTACCCTTCCCTTTGCCTTTGGGGTTTTCAGCCCTCGCCTTGCCCGCCAGCACCTTCTCCGCTTTGGGGGGGTGGGCCTTCCCCCTGGGCAGGCGGGGCCCTCGTCGCCTTCCCCTTCTTGGGTTTTATGGCTGCCAACTGCAAAACCAGGACAACGGGGGGGGGTAATGCCAAGGGGACACTCAGGCACTCCCCTGCCCCCCCCTCCTCCAAAGGCTCCGCGGTCGCAGGCCAGACTCTGCCAGGCCCAAGGCAGGACCCGAAGGGCCCCCGGCAGCAGCACACGGGTTGGCCTGGCAACGGCCAGGCAAGGCTGGCATTTCCCACCGGTCATTAGCCGAGCAGGCAGGGCAGCAGAAGGCTCCCTCCGGGGTCCCCCCCCAGGCAAAGGGGAGGAGTGCCAGGAAGGGCAGGGAGCCACGTGGGGCAGGAAAACCCCTCGGGTCCAGGGGGCTGCGGCCATCAGGCACCCCAGAGAGCAATAAGCCGGTCCCCAACTCCTCCCGTGGGCTTCAGGGGTCGACTGCCTGGCCCAAGGCTGAACAAGGGGAGGGGCACCGTGGGACCCTGCAGGCGGCCGGCTCCTTCCGCGGAGCCTTCCTGCCAGTGCAGCCCTTCGACCCGAAGTCGGGTCCGGGGCGGGGGCGGCTCCCTCACCTTGAACCTGCCGGTGGCGCCCTGGGCGGAGGAGTTGAGGGGCCGCACCAGGTAGCCCTTCTCCAGCCCCTTCAGCAGCGCCCTGCGCAGGTAGTACTTGAGCCGGATGGGGTCCACGCCGGGGTAGTTGTGGCGGATGTAGCGCTTGATGGCGGCGGTGGAAGAGCCCTTCCTCTCGTTCAGCGCCCCGACGGCCTCGGTGACCATGGTCAGCGTGGGCGGGTAGCGGCCCTGGGAGAAGCGGGCTGCCCCCGAGGCCTCTGCGGAGGCCGAGAAAGAGAGCCTGCTGGAGGGAGGCGGGGAGCGGACTCCAGCCCCCGTGGGGCTGGGCGGGGAGGGAGCCCCCAGCTCGGCCAGCAGCCTCTTACTCGCCATCTCCGGCGCCGTCCCGGTCGGCCGACGCTCTACGCGGGAGGGGCCGCACCTGGACCCGCTTTATGCGGGAGGAGGAGGAGGAGGAGGAAGGCGGCCGCGGATCCCCTGCCGGCCAGTGGGCGATTGGCCGGCCGGAAAGCTGCAGGCGGTGGCCCGGGAGCCGCTAATAAGCGTCCGGCCTCCCTGCCCTCCAACGGGCGAGGCATTCGGGCCAGGTACTTGCAAGGAAGGAAGCAGCCGAGCGACGCCCCCCCGGCAGTGGCGCAGGCAGGGACGCGCCGGCGGTGGGACCCAGGCCCGTCGGGGGGGGGGGGGCCCCGCGCCCCGCGCCTTTGCGGGGGGGGGGGCTTCCCAGCGGGTCCCATTCTCTGCCCTTCTCCCCCAGGGCCTCCCCTGCCTCGCCTTGGAATCCCCCTTCTCGTCTCGCAGCCCCGCCCAGGGGGGACGGAAAGACCTTCGCGCGGGCCGCCCCAGGAGCAAGTGGGTGTCAGCCGGGGAGGGAACCCCGGGGGAGCCGGAGAGTTGGTCCGTCCGCCTTGGGGCGCGCTTCCTTGTTTCTTTTCAACTCTGAGGCCCAGCGGGGCCCCCCGAAGCTGCCCCCTCGGGACGTTTCCGGCCGAGGACCAGTTCCCCCCCCCCCCCGAGTCTGATCCTGCAGACAATCGTAGCGTCTCTTTGCGGGGAAGGCCCAGCCAGATGCCTCGGAAAACCTTCCGTCCGAGTCACCGGTTGGTTCTTGAGATAGACTGCCCCTGCCTGCGGAGGTTCCTCGTCTTCGCCTGGTGCAGAGCTGTGGCCCCCATGCAGCTGCGGAAAGAGGGATATCATCCTGGGCTGCAGCCCCAGAGAAGGTGGGGTGGGGATTGTGGGCAGAGTCGCCTCAGCCCCTGAAAAGCTGCTCTGGGGTCTTGGGGCCTTTGACCCCCCCAGTTACACAGCCAGGTCATACCCCCCCCACTCCTCTGGGCACCTTCGGTCGCTGCCACCCTGAGCGTGGCAGTGCTTTGCGGGGGGGGGGGGCTGTCTCCAAAGAGAGGAGGGGGCAACTCTGTCCGGTGCCACCCTGGGGGAGGGGCAGAGCAGGGCCGGGAGCCAAGCGTCTCCTTCTCTGGTGTTCCAGGCCTCCAGGTGCTGGCGGACGCCCCTCCCCCCTCGATGGCAGACGATGTCGGCCACTAACAACATCGCGCAGGCCCGGAAGCTGGTGGAGCAGCTGCGGATCGAGGCCGGAATGGAGAGGATCAAGGTGGGCTCTCGGATGGGGGAGGGGAGGCGCCAGGTGCCCTGGGAATTGGGGAGGGGGACAGGCAGAAGACCCCCTCTGGCTCAAGGTCAGGCCCTGGGCAGCCTGGCAACGGAGAGTCTGCCAGACCGAGCCCCAAGGCCCCTGCAGTGGGCGAGGGTCTCTGGCCCCCGGGCGGAGGCAGGGAAGGTGCAACCCACTCTTGAGGGGAGAGGGAGAGAGAGACTCTTTGAGCACACGGGCCTGCAGGCCTCGGCCGCTCCTTGGCCCAAGAATGCCTCTGCACATGATCAGAGGCCCTGAGGTGCTGAGAAGCCAGCCCACCTCTGGCCCCGGGGGGGGGGGTCACCGGGGAGGGTTCTCTCACCCCCATCCTGGTTCCTGGAAGAGGTTCAGTGGAGCTGCATTTAGTGCTGGGGGCTGTGTGTCCCCCCCCGGGGGGGGGCAGTCCGGTCCTGGCCCCCTTCTCTTGAGGGCAGGAGGGGGGGGCAGCCAGGAAGGAAACGGGGGACAGCCGTGCAAGAGAGGAGGGTCGTTCTCCCCCCCCAGTCAGAACATCAGGTCCCCCTTCCAGAATATGGGGAGCGGGGTGTTGGGGGACCCGGCTGCAGGTTGGAACTGAGAATTAGTGGGGGCCTTGATCCTGGTGGCTCCTGCCTTCGGGGGGGGGGCAGTGTTCAGCTGACATTTGGATCCCCCCAAGGAGCAGGGGCCCCCATGCCCAGGCCCTGCAGTGCCGCCTTGTGGCCCCTCCCTCTGGACCCCAGGTGGCCGGGCGGGGGGACTGACGGGTCTGCTTCCCTCCCCAGGTCTCCAAAGCCTGCCTGGAGCTGATGAACTACTGCGAGGAGCAGGCCAGGAACGACCCCCTGCTGGTTGGCGTCCCCACCTCGGAGAACCCCTTCAAGGACAAGAAGCCCTGCGCCCTCCTATAGCTGGGCACCCCCCCAGCCCCCCCCCCCGATCTCCGGCCAGGCCAAGGAGGGGGGAGCAGCCCTCGTTGCCCGTTTGTCCCACCGGCAGATGACTGGATTTGGGGGGGGGGGGCAGGGAGGGCACCAGGCTGGGCTTGAGGGCCGTCCTGGGAGGGGACCCCCCAGGGAGCCGGTCTGGATGCCCCCACCCCCCAGTGGAGAGCTGGCCTGGGGAAGGGCCAGGCAGGCAAAGGCGGCTGCCCTTCCAGGACGGTTGAGGAGGGGGCTTCCCAAGGAGAGGGGCCCATTTCGTCTCTTCCTCCCTCCCCCCCCGCCTCCCCAACTGTCACGCACGGATGCCCCCCCCACTCCCAAGGGCCAAGGCTGGGGGGCGCTTTCCCTGGCTGGTTGCTCTCCCTCTGAGTGAGGCGCCAGTGGCCCAAAGGACGGAGTTTCCCCGGGGAGCCCTGGGGATGCCAGCAGGCTGGGTGTGGGGATAAGGCTGCGGGGGGGGGCTGCGGGGGGGGGGGGCCGGCCTTTTTGGGGGGGGATCCGCCGGTCCGGGGGGGGCCCCCCCCTCCAAGGACGGGGGGGGGGCTCTTCTCCAGGCTGGGCTGAGTGAGGCCTTGATTTTGAGCCTGGAGGAGCTGGTGTGGGAGGGTCCGAGGGGAGAATGGGATGGGCAGCCCCCCCCCCGCCTCTCCCAGTGCAAGCTGGAGGGCTGCCCGCCGATTTGGGCTCCCCCTTCCCCCTTGCCCAGAAGCGGTCAGTGGGGCATCTCCAGGGACCCCCCCCGGCCAGCAGGGCCTCCGTCAGCTCCCAGCGGGCCCCCTTGCTCTCCCGATGCCCCCCGAGAGCGCGTGCCAAGGCAGCCCCCGGGGACGTGGCAAAAGGAGGCCGAGCCTCTGGTCTCCGGTGGTCTCTTCCTCGTAAAGCTGAGGACGTTTAGCCTTAAAGTCTTTGTAAAATTATGCATAAAAAATTGCTCCACAAGGTTTTCAAAAGTACAGCACACACAGAAAGCCACACAAAAACTCTAAAAGAGAGCAACAACAACGTTCTGAAATTTTGTGAGGCCCTAAACTTGTTTATGGCTAAATCCAGCCCCCCCCCCCCCCGGGAATCCCAGCCCAGGAGCCTCCACCTGCCCCCCCCCTTTGCATTCGCTTCCTCAGTCGCTTGGCTGGGTCTTCCCTGGACAAGCAGCCCCCCCATCCGCCCTTGAACCCAGGGCCACCCTCCCCACCTCTACTCTCTGGGAATCCAGGCCTTTTAGAGAGGGGGGGGCCAGACCCCTCCCTGTGTCAAACTCTTTCAGTTGGTTTGTTTTTTTAATTCACCAAAGTGACAAACGGATTGATCCAGTTTGTCAAAAACAGAGTGCTGAACATGGTTCTTATTTGCCAAACTCTCTTCCTGTTGCCAAAAAGGGGGAGGGTTTATAAGGGGGGGCGGGGGGGAGGCTGTGCCTGGTCATCTTTTCTTGCTAATTTCTGCCTTTCTCTTTCGTAACCGGCTCCTCCCCCCTCGTGCCCTGGACTGGCTGCCTTGCTAGTGCTGAACATGTGAGGTTCCAGTTTTTAAAAAGCGCATTGATCACACAAAGAATAAAGGCTCCTTTTGCCTGGAAACGCGGTTTTTTCTCGGCTGGGAAGGCAGCTCCCTCCGTAGGCCCTGCCTCTGCAATCTCTTCTCTTGAGGGGGGGGCCTTGGGGGCCTTGGGGGCCCAGCCTCCGCCCGGGGAGGATTCTGCCTCTGCAATGCCAAGAAGGATGGGGGGGGCGGGGGGGCGGATTTCCCTCCAGCGACCCCCTGCTGGGCTTCTTGGAAGGGGCGCCCGGGGCCTTTCCCGGGGGGGGGGGGCTCTGCTCACAGCAGCTCCCTGGAGGCGGGAGGAGACCCTGCCCACCACCAAGCGCCTCTGCTGGCAGAAGGTGCGTGATCCAGAGCAGGGATGACCCTTGGACCCTCAGGTGAGCCTCCATCCCAGCCCTGAGGAGGAAAAGGGGGGAGGGTACAATTCCTGGAATCAGCCAACGGGCGGGGCAGGGCTGGGATGGGCATACAGCCATTTTGAATTCAACTGGGGAGGGAGAGCCCCCCAGGATGGCATCGGTCTGCCCTGGGGGCTACCCTGCAGAGATGGAGCGCTTGGGGGTAGCGTGGCATCCACCTGGTTGCCATCTGTGGGGGGGGGAAGAGGAGGAAAGCCCTTATACACACACACAGAGCAAGCTCAGGGCAGCTTGGCGCTGGTCACGGGGGGGGGGGGGCCCCCGGGGGCATCCACAGGCCCAAGGCTTCCTCTCCAAAGCCAGGGTGGGGGCAGAACGACCACCTGATGCCGCCTCGTTTCCTCCCCGCCCAGGCTGGCTCTCATTCTGGGGAGGGTCTCGGGCCAGGGGCAGCAAGGACAGAGGGAGCACATAGCCCCCCCACCCTCCAAAGAGCCCCGGAGGAGCCCAATCCTGGGCGCTGGTCTCCAGCACGCTTGCAGCCTCTGCGGCCAACTGCCCACCGGCGGTGCCCTCCACAGCCTGCCTGCAGTCTTCCCCCGGCTGGATGCCGCAGGTCGCCGGCTGCCGTTCCTGGCCCCACCCTGGGCAAGCGGCAGTAGCAGAAGGCAATTATAGCTCTTGGGGAGCTAAAAATAACTGCAGAGGAACACGGGCTATTTATAGCGGCGTCTCTGAACTTTGTCCCAGAGGCATCCCACAACTTTGCCCGGAGCGGAGCGGGCAGCAAAGAGGCGCCGGCTTCCCTGGCAGAGGAAGGGAAGCGCGGAGGTGCCCAAATGCCTTGGCGCCTGCCTCGGCCAGCTTGGGCACGCAGAGGGGGGCCTT